GAGACCCTTCAGATGTATATTGGTGGGCCATACACTTGGGGGATGATTGCCAACACATATCATGGAGGGTAGAGATAAAGGAAGTTTCCAAAGGAATTTTTATATGTTAAAGTAAATTTAGGGGCGCCTGGGTGGCTCAGTTGGTTGGGCAACTGCCTTCGGCTCAGGTCATGATCCTGGAGCCCCGGGATCGAGTCCCACATCGGGCCCCCTGCTCAGCGGGGAGTCTGCTTCTGCCTCTGACCCTCCCCCATCATGTGCTCTCTTTCATTCTCTCTCTCTTGAATAAATAAAATCCTTAAAAAAAAAAATAAAGTAAATTTACAGGATCCTTGAGGGGGAGGGGTTGGGCTAGGATTATGTTTTGCCCTTAGCAAAGTATTAACATCCAGGCAGTTGAGTCCCTAGAGGAATGTTGCTGTGCCTGTTTCAAGGACTTGTCAATGGACTGTAGATAGTAAGGAAATTCAATTATTTCTCTTCTGCCTTTGTTTCCCACATCAACTTCTATCATTTAATAATATATCCTGAGGATTGCTCCATATTAGTTTGCAGGTCTTTTTCATTCTTTTTACAGCTGTATAGCATTGTTGTCTGGACGTACCGGTTTATTCAGTCTCCTACTGATGGACTTGTGTCATTTCCAGTGTTTTGTTATGACAAATAATGCCAAAATGAATACCCTCATGCATGTTCACCGTGGAAATATATACTGAGTAGATAATTAGAAATGAAGTTTCTGAGTCTAAGGGTAATTATAGTTGTAATTTTGTTAGATGGTGCTAAATTCTACTCCATGGGGATTCTATTAAACGTTTTGCCCCCAGTCAGCGATGTTATAATGGGACTATTTCTCCACAGCCTTACTAACAGGGTGCTTTGACAAAGTTTGGCACTTTTGTCACTCTGATCAATGGGAAATTGTTATCTTCGTATAGTTTTATTTTATCATGAATGCAACTGAACATCTTTTCATATGTGTCAAGGCCATTTGCCTTTCCTTTTCAATGAAATCTCCACTGATGTCTTTTGCTTAAAAGTTTTCTTTTTTTGGTGTTTGTGTTTGTGTTCTGGATTTTTAAGAACTGGAGCAGGAAGATAAGCTACAAGTTACTTGTACTATGTTACACATCTTTTAATTTGTCCTTTGATTTTGTCTATTTTTTTCCAAAACACATGTATTTTTACTGTTATATAATGTTTGTTAATATTTTCTTTTATTCTGTATTTTGAATAATAATTAGAAAGGTCTTCCCAATCCACAGGTTATAGAGGAATTAATCAGTGTGCTCTTTTAATACTTATATGGTATCATTATTTATATTTAAATTTCTGAGTTTATTCTAGTGTGTGATGTGAAGTGTGGCTCTAATTTTATCTTTTCCCAGAGGCTATCCAGTTGTTCTAATACTATTACTTAAAAAGCCTATCTTTCCCCCAGAGATTTGAGATTCCACTTTACTGGCATACCAAATTTTCTTATTTACTTGATCCTATTTCTTCTTCTTCTTCTTTTTTTTTTTCTTAAAGATTTTATTTATTTGAGAGAGAGCACAAGCAGGTGGAGCGGCAGACAGTGGGGAGGGAGAAGCAGACTCCCCACTGAGCAGGGAACCTGATGTGGGGCTTGATCCCAGGAACCCAGGATCATGACCTGACCTGAAGGCAGATGCCCAGCTGACTGAGCCACCCAGGTGCCCCAGGAGACTCTTAACTACAGGAAACAAACTGAGGGTTGCTGGAGGGGAGGTCGGTAGGGTATGGGGTAACTGGATGATGGGCATTAAGGAGGGCACTTGATGTAATGAGCGCTAGGTGTTATACGCAACTGATGAATCACTAAACTCTACCTCTGAAACTAATGATATACTATATGTTAATTAATGGAATTTAAATTAAAAAAAAGAAACCAAAAAGGGCACACATTTTGTTTGTTTTGGCTTTTTAAAAATACTTTCATTTAAATTCTAGTTAACATATAGTGCAATATTGGTTTCAGGAGTAGAATTCAGTGATTCATCACTTATATACAACACCCAGTGCAAAGGGCACACATTTTGAATTACTAAATTGTTTAGAAACATTAAGGAAAGCTATTGCATACTAGGATTTGATTTTCTTTTTACAGGGAGTCCACTTTTGCATATATTGGCAACTATCTTATTGTAAGTAAACATGAGAGGTACCTGGCCTGCTCAGTGGAGCATGTGACTCTTGATCTCGGGGTTGTAATTTCGAGCCCCATGTTGTGTGTAGATTACTTGAAAATAAAAAAATCCTTTTTAAAAGATTTTATTTAGGGGCGCCTGGGTGGCTCAGTCGTTAAGTGTCGGCCTTCAGCTCAGGTCATGATCGCAGGGTCCTGGGATCGAGCTCCACATCGGGCTCCCTGCTCAGCGGGAAGTCTGCTTCTCCCTCTCCCACTCCCCCTGCTTGTGTTCCCTCTCTCTCTGTGTCTCTCTCTGTCAAATAAATAAATAAATAAAATCTTTAAAAAAAATAAAAGATTTTATTTATTTGAGAGAGATTGCAGAGCTAGAGAAAGGGCATGAGTGTGTGTGGGGGGAGGGCGAGGGAGAAGCTGACTCCTCGCTGAGCAGGGAGCCTGACCCAGGGCTCAAGCCCAGGACCCTGGGATCATGACCTGAGCTGAAGGCAGATGCTTAAACAACTGCTTAACCGACTGCACCACCCAGGCACCCCCAAAAAAAATCTTAAAAAAAAAAAGTAAACATGAAAAAGGACAGATTTTAGAAAGGAGGAATAGGAGTATGCCTCTAGTTAGAGGAACCTATACTGATAAAAACATAAAACAGATGAACCACAAACTCCTAAGTGAACCACATTCCGCATTGTTTCATCTATTTTCCTAATTGGGACATTCTTCTCATAGTCTCCCCCATATGAGAGGTATCACTTTACGATTCAGTCACTAAATCAGAACTCACAAGTTCCTCCATTACTATCCCACTGTGGGCATGCATGTTCAGTCATGTGCAACCAACAGCACACTTAAACTTAGCCAAAAATCAGGTCTAGTGTGCAAGAGCCAATGAGCTCAGAAATGAGACTCATGGGTGTAGCCAAGGAATATGAGCTGAAGACAAAAAGGGTCCAGATCTACCCCGACCCAGGTAGACATTATCTCCAGAAATAAGTGATCAAAAGTAATTCAGAAGCATTTAGTTACTTGCACACCAATTACTATTTTTCATGCACCTAACTTATTGACATATGAAGCAATCAGTGGAGAGACTGAGTCAGGGATGAAGGCAAAATAAAGATGTGGTAAATTTCTACATTGGTGGTCCCCAGGGAATGAATGAACCTCCCAGTATTCATGCCCCATAGTAGCCCCTTACATGTTGAGTCTGAGCTTGGTTACCTGACTTGCTTTGTCAAGGGGACATTAGCAAGTGTGATGAATATAGAGGCTTGATAAGTACTTGCACCTTGGAGCTTGTCCTCTTGAAATGCTCTCTGTGGAAGCCAGAGCACGTAAGAGGTTCAACCGCCCTGAGACAGCCATGCTGTGAGGACCTCAAAACCAGCTATGTAGCTAGGCCACACTGAAAAGCAATAAGGTGCAAAAGAAGCTTCTTGGGTCTTCCAGATCAGGTGCCACAGCCACTAGCTAAATGCAGCTGAGTGACTCCAGCTGACGACATATGGAACAGAAGAAACTACCCAGCCAAGCTCTCAGACAGTTTAGTCCACAGAATCATTGTTGTTTGAAGCCACATTATGCAGTGACTTTTATGCAGCAATAAATAAGTACAACACAGGATTTATAAGAGAAAGGGACCAAAAAAAAAAAAATACCGCATTCTGAGAACAGTGAATTTTATTTGTATGTTTGAGGTAAATTGATCAGCTGACACCTAGCAAAGTGGTCAGTCTGAAATTCTATCTTTGAGTAAGTTTCCTAGGGATATCAAACAAAACAATTTTTGTTATTTACTCATTCTCAAGAAAACCTGGAGGGTTTACCTATGGGGCATACTTGTGTACTGTCCACCAGTGTCCTTTCATTAGCACCTTTGACCTTGTTAGTTCAGATTTGTACAATTTCCCTTGTTAGGTTTTATAAAAGAAAACCGAGAGAGTGGGAAAGGCTGAGTGAGTCTGGAGGATCTGAAGCCACTCTGACCCCCTAAACTTTTTTCCTTGTTTAAAAACAACACCAGAGGGCACCTGGGCGGCTCAGTCGTTAAGCGTCGGCCTTCGGCTCAGGTCATGGTCCCAGGGTCCTGGGGTCGAGTCCTACATCGGGCTCCCCGCTCCAGAGAGAGCCTGCTTCTCCCTCTCCCGCTCCCCCTGCTTGTGTTCCCTCTCTCACTGTGTCTCTCTCTGTCAAATAAATAAATAAAATCTTTAAAAAATAAATAAATAAAAACAACACCAGGGACCTGGGTGGCTCAGTCAGTTAAGCATCTGCCTTTAGCTCAGGTCATGATCCCAGAGTACTGGGATCGAGCCCCAAGTTGGGAATCCCTGCTCAGCAGGGAGTCTGCTTCTCTCTCTCCCTCTGCCCCTCCCCTCCTACCCCCACTTCTGCTCTCTCTCACTCTCTCTCAAATAAATAAAGACCTTAAAAAAAAAAAAAAAAAACAACACCAGTGGCATCAGTAGTCTGTCTAGCCCTTTAGTCAACAGTTAGGGCTACCTAAATAAAAAATGCTCTCTGAAGGCTCAAGCTCTTACAGACAACCCGGACCATGAGTTCCAAATGTGGCACTGTACTGAGGAAGCACGGATGAAGGAACACTGGGGTCAGGGCCCTGGAAATGGAAGCTGCTTAGTGGTGTCAAGTGGTCTATGGAAATCAGGATCTCCCTTAATGGTAGGAATATGAGCATGGGTAAAAAGAGAGGTTAGCCAGTGACAGAAAAATACAAACTGAAACAGAGGAAAATAGAATAAAGGGCTGAAATACTCACAGAAGCACACAAAGTGAAACACAATTATACTTTATTTATTTGAAAGACAGGGTGAATCCATCACTGGTGACTGGAGCTCTGAGGCTACACTTTCTCCTCAGGGAGGTGGGCTGGAACGGGGTGAGCTGCATTTGGCAGGGGCTCTCGTGGTTTGAGATCTGGGTAGATGAGAATTTGAGTTTTTTAAGATTGTAGCACCTCTCACACCAATCCAGAATCCACCTGTGTGTTCTCTTCAGCTCTATGCCCCCCATCACGCCTATCTTCCTGGGGTATCCCCAATTTTTCTCTACAAACCTCTCACCTGCCTGGCTCCCCAGCTGGGCCTCAGGCCGGTCTCCCCAGAGTAGATGATCAGGATCGTTGAGGAAACGCTGGCTGCGTTGGCAAGTTAGGCAAGTCTGTACTGTCCAGCGCTGTCCCCTGCAGCCTGGGGGAAAGTGGGGAGGAGGAGGGAAGTGCTGAGGTTTAGCAGAAGAAAAGGTCTCCTGCACCCAGTTTTGCCTCCACTATTTCTCAGTAAGAATTCCAACACTCCCCAAGTTTGAATACAAATTTGAGGTTTCTTACCTCTGCTTAAAGTCTGTCAATTTCTTGGTATCCCTTAAGATAAAGTCCAAACTCCTTAACAAGCCTCTTCAAGATCTGCCCTGTTTCCTTCTTCAGCCTCATGTTTTGCCCTGGCCTACCTCAAACTCCAGGTTCCTGAAGTCTGGTCTCCTTGACAGCACCACAAGCTCTCCTGTCTCAGGGTCCTCACATATGCCTAGAATTTCCATTTCTCACTCCTTTTGCTTATCATGAACCGCACCACTATTAATATAAGTAATTTAGCATTTTACTTCCTCAAGTAAAGCATTTTTCTACACTATCTTGTTTCTTAGTCTGTCCTATCAGACTATAATTTCAATGAGAATAATGGATCTTGTACAATACTTGACTCATCTTAGAAAAATATTTGTCGAATGAATGAACGAATGGTGATGTGAATTCTGTCCTCCACCATGCAAAATAACATCTATTAGTATGTATGGGTGGGTTACGTCTTATGGCAACATCATTTCCCTACTGGCTTTCCTTAGTTGGTCCAAGTGAAGTTAGCAATTCAACCCAGAGCTGGAAAAAGCCGGCTGCTGTAGATCCCACACCAGACGCCGGTCCAAAGCGAGGAAGGGGGTCTCCTCCCCAGCCCACTGGTGCTCCTCAATCACCCCCACATCATCAGGAGCACTCACGTCTCTGGCGCTGGGTGCAGGTGAGGCCCGGGATGAGGAGGGAAGAGCAGCCACGACAGAGGGTCCTCTTCACCGAGGGGTCCCTGCGGACGGAAGGGGATGGTGGTCCGAGCGCCCGCGCTCCCTCTCCCATGCTTCCCGCCCGCCGCCAGGTTCCCTGAGCGTCTCACCGCCGCAAGACCAGCCGCTTTGCGATGGTCCTCTCCGTGTGGCAGTAAAACCTCGCCAGCGCCTGGTTCGTGGGGTCCTGCGCAAGGACACAGTGGGCGGCCTGGGGGAAGGAAACCATTGCTTCGTGGCCGGCCACATCCGGCCGCCTCCCCGTACGCCCCCCGACGCGGACTCACCTGGTACAGGAAGCTGAGCCTCTGAAAGGCCTCGCGGTCCTTCACCGGCCCAGCCATCTGCGCCGCGCGAGTGCCTCACACACGACAGTCCGCAGGTCCCGCCCCTCCGATAGCCCCGCCTCAGGCGCCCGCGCACGGCCTCCTGGGAAGTGTAGTTCCTGGGCCCGCGAGCATCTCTCCGCGATCCTTACTCCGGCACCACCCTGCGGCCTCAGGGACCCCAGTTATTTGTAAACCCACACCCACCCCTGCAACCCAAGTCCAGGGTCCCTTTCTGAGTTTTGGCTACCTTCTAGTTTTCCTCAAGCCCATGATCAGTTATACTAGGTAGGAAAGTCTAGTGAACAGGAGATGATCTTAAACTGCAAAACATTTTTAGGACATAAGACTGCTCTCTTTATGCAGATAGGTTGGGGAGATGCTTATGTGCAATTTATGCCCAGCTAGGACTTCTGCCCTACGCTCCTGAAGCCAAAGGCAGATGCCTGAAAGATCTACAGACTGAAGGAACAGAAGTTATACATTCAAAAAAAGCACTGGTACCAGTGGGAGTGAAATTGGAAAGGATCATGAGGGTGGTCAAAGGAAGGAAGCACAGCTTATTCCCATTCTTTTCCACTTACCAAAAAAAAAAACCCACTTCCTATTATGCAGTGCTGGACACACAGTAGGTGATCCTAGCTAACTTCTAGTCTTAGGTACTGGAGCACAGAAACTTTTGACATCTCCTGCCCCTGAAACTCACCCCTCCCTCACCTCCCCTATTCCAATCATATACTTCACATCCCTTACTCTGACCTGTCTCCCGTTTGTTCTGTTTGACATCCTGTGTTTCCTTCTGCCTCATAGTTAATGACCACCAGTTCCTGAAGTCAGAAGTAGAGGGATGTGAGCTGGAGGGGCAGAACATGAATGAACCTTGAGACAGGGAGAGGGCAGCATTAAGGAGAGAATAAGGCCTCTCTCCCTTCTCAAACCCCATCAGGCCAGGCAGGGAACCAGGCCTCCAGCTCAGAAGAAATGGCCAAAACCTCCTCTGGGATTAATTTCACAAGGATCCCTATATTCAAATGAGGAGTATGTTTAAAATGTAGACATCCAGGCCCACCCCAGACCTTGATTAATCACTGAGGGCGAACCCCAGGATCATGCATTCTTAACACCAGTGATTCTTACACATCAACACAAGGCCATCGTCAAATTACCACACAACACAGATATCACTTCAGTGGATCCTTTGTTCCATATTGTTTTACCAACCAAAGCATCTTGCCACAAAGAACCACAGTCAAGGCACAAAGGTAAGAGGAGAGTCTGGACAAAGTCCTGTTGAGGTGGTAGGAGGAATTGAAACACCCTCAATAAACTGCGGTTTCTCGTCCCAATCTTCTGTGAACCCCTGATCACCCAAAGAGCAGATATTCCAAATCATTTTAGTTCGGTTTGGCATGCATAGCTTTAACCTTTTTTTGACAACATATGTACCCTACAAGTTGTTTATTTTGGCCTAATGTTAAAATGATTTACATTCTCTGATAGGGGAAATGGCAAAAGGTGAAGGATGGCAACAAATAAGCAAAAGACTGGCTCCTGTGAACACTAGTTCCAGGCCATATGCACACAGGCTAAAGGAAGTTGCCTATCTTGCCCTTCCCTCCACACACCCTCTCTTCTACCCTGTCCTCAGGGTGAGGAAGACTCTACTTCCTTTCTCCCTTTTTGGCTTGGACACCTTAGCCAAGGAACAAGGCTGACAACTTGGGAGCAGCTACTTAGTAACATTCTTTAAGGCCAGGGCTTTGGATAGAAAAACCTTTCTCTTTCCTCTAATACCTGACTGTCCTTTCCAGGTTCCCTTGGGAAAGCAGTGAAAGGGCAGATGTGTCTTGAGGGGTCTCTGGTACCTCATCTCTGCAGGAGAAAGGTGACTGACCGACATCTTGGAGACAACCAACTCAGAGGAGGCAGGCACTAGCCAGCTTTGCTGAAGGCTGAGGCAGGGACCTGAGCTCTCCTCTCCTTTCTTCTCACCCTTTCCTCCCCACATTCCTACCTCTGGCCAATCCTACTCATAATGGCAACTTACTCTGGGAATGGAAGACCAAAGAAACCCCTTTCCCCTTCATTAGTCCCTAGGAATCTGTTCCTTTAGCTCCTTTCCCAACTTTCTTTCTAATCTTGATGCTCAATCTCTGCCCTCAAAAAAAAAAAAAAAAAAAAAAAAACTCCTTAACTTCTAGACCCATAAAAGCAACTATCATTCATCTTTATTTTAGTCTAGAGGTACACAGACCCCTTTGATCCTCCTCAAGAAATAAGACCATTCTGGGTCAAAGAACCCCCTAAAAGGATGTACAGGGGTTTCTGTTTCCTCTTCTGGTTTTGAGCAAGTCAGACCCTCCCACAGACTTTCTGTTTCCGGAAAAGCCTCTCCTTCCTTCCCAACCTATCCATGTGCAATAGGAAAACCTGATGGACTTCAGGGGAGACAACCCCTGGGAACTAGCTCCCCACCCTGACAGAAGGGAGTCACAGCTGTGCTCTCATCCCAGACCAGTCCTATCTACTCCTCCATATAAACCATTCTAGAAACCAAGATGCCTCTCCTAGACAGTGCAGGACTGGAACCAGGCAGACACGAAGACGTTCCAGCAGGTCACAGGAAGGAAGGCCCATAGCTCTTGACCCTGACTCACCCCAATTATTCCCACATCCCTACCTGTCACTCCCAATCTGTTGGGGGCCTGATGGTAAGTGGTGCAGCATTCTTCCGACCAGCCCGGATGCCTGGATAGAAGAGGGGCCAAAGTTTCTCAGTAAAAGTATCAGTAAAAGTGTAGATATGAGAGCGGTCTGTGACATTGTAAAAAGACAGTGTGCCGGCCTCATAGTCTAGGAATATGCCCACCCGCTTGGGTTTCACCTTGATGTGCAAAGGGGTAAAAGGCGTGGTGGTGGCTGCATATTTGTCCCCATTCCACAGCCGCACCCGCCAGTAGCCAGTCTCAGGGAGTGGAGTCAGCTCGCCCTTTCGGCTCACGGAGTCCCGGCACACGCCCACTGCCCAGTGGGTCTTATCACCCACCTCCACCTCCCAGTAGTGTCGGCCTGAGGTGAAGCCCTCAGTAGCCAGGACACAAGGGTAGAAGGTGAACCGCCGTGGTGTGTCAGGGAGATCCCGGAGTCTTGTCTCCACAAACTTGACGCTCTTACGATCTTCTGACAGGACTAGGTTAGGGTGAGCAGTCTCTGGGTCCAGGGTCACATCCGCTGGCGGGAGAAGCCAGAGTGGGGAGCTAGATGAGGATGGGAATAGCTAAATGCCCCTGCCTCACTCTTCCAGCCTGCCTTTACACAGCCTGCTTCCTTAACAGTCCCCAGAACACCGTGGTTTGGTTAATTTTCTCAATCCATGGTCTCACCTAAGGGAAAGGAGGGAGCAATGGCTTCCCTTCTCACCCTGGCCCTAAAGTAAACAGCTAATGATCTTTTGATTCTGCAAGGGCTGATGGTTTAGGCTCCTGCCTGATCCCTTCTCCACCACCCTGTGACATCATCTCACTATGTGAAGAAGCACAAGTCACAGTCTAAGGACCAGAAAGAACAGAAAATGTTAAGAAGGATACACAGCAAGACAGCATTATGGTCTAGGGATAGGGTGACTATGTATCTGAAACAGTCCTGGTTCACAACTATTTTCTCTGAGTAAATATTAATGATACTCCCTTTCACTCTCAAGTGGGGGGGAGACAAGTTTAGGCATATTATTTAACCTCTCTGGGTGCCTATTTAGAAAAGTGTGGACCTAAGAGTAGATGACACCTAAGCTCTGTTACTCACAGTGAAACTGAAAGCCAGGTAAAGGGATAGGCGCAAAAAGTGACAGATGGGATAAGTTAAGCTCAGATAATGTGGGATCTAAAGACTTTCTTCTCTGCTGATTCCCTCTGCTAGTTTACTTTTGGGAACAACTCACCAATTAGCTGTTTAAGGATTTTCCTTAGGGCAAAGTACTGTCGGGGGAAATTGCTGAAGTTCTTTTCCAGCTCTATAGACACAGAAGTCACCTCCATGGTCTTCACCTTCTCACATCTAGGAGGGATAGGGAGATAGGGGAAGAAAGGGCAGGGTCAGGGGAAGCTCCAGCTGAGTGAGTATGCAGATATTCTCTTTAGGGAGAAACTAAAATTCTCCATCCTCCCACTTTCTCCCTCCTCTCTGAAGACAAGTACTCACTTACTGCTTTCTTTTGCCAATCTATGGAGAGCCATATGGCTCCCTGGACAGAGCCTTATTTTAAGAACGAGTCTCAGAACTTTCTGGGGGTGTGACTATATTTCATGCAAGTAGTAATCACTCTCCCCACTCTCCCAACCCCTTCCTTTGTCTGTCTTGTTTGGACACATTTCCACCCACAGGCACAGGGAGAATCTGGTTCTACATTACCTTGGTATCTTCCTTACCAGGTTAGTCCTGATGCTCAAAGGGGAAAAGGTAATGGACTATTACTCCCAATGATTTGCTCTCTAACTGGCTTCAGGGATGCAATGAATCTTCTCCCACATCCTACCCAGACACTGCGTGACTTTCCTATCCTTCTCCCCTAATTCCTTACTGTACTCCTGGTCTCTAAGCTAAGACCTAACTCACTCAAAGAGATGCAAGAATCACTTACTTTTCCAGGGTACTTTTGACATCCTAGAGGGAAGGAGAAAAGAAAGCAATATTGGTCCTGGTAGTCAAGGGTCCTACAGGCAAAAGGTTCCCCCCTCCCCAAAGTCCTAGATCTATACAATAGGAATAGGGCAAACTAAGGGTCACAATGCAAGGGGAAGAGCTCCAGAGGGATCTGAGTACATCTCTCGACCTGATCCCTATTTTCAACTTTTGGTTAGCATGAAGCTTGGTAATTTTTATCACTTCCAAATGGTTTCTTGTGTCTTTGTCTTGCTCCTTAAGGACACTGGGAGCTCAGTGCAAAGGACATTTGCATTGTCTACTCTTTACTCTGTCCCCCAAGTACCAACCACACACCTGTCTCCTTGAGGATCAGTATAGACTGGTGGCATAGGAATGAATCACACTTTCCTGTTGTTGTTTGTTATCCCTGTCTGGTACTGGTTAATAAATATTAATAACTGTGTGCCAATCCTGATTTGTGAATACTTGGGGTCCAGAAGACAAAGAAGAGAAATCTCTGCCCCCCAAGGATTTCCCAGTTTAATGTGGAAGGCAGAACACACATACATGAAGGGACACAAGAATAAGTACCAAGCAATACATAACATGCAGATAAATGTACAACGAAGCCTCACTGATTCAAATGTTGGTAATCTGATCTCTAAAATAAGAGACATATTTCCTACAGCTTTGCTAACACCATTCATCTGCTTAAAAGAACAAATTATTTCAAACATTTTAGAGGCATTATTTACATATCAAAAGTAATATATTATTTATACATAATTTCACGTGTCCTTCAAACTAGGTTTGTATTTTTTTTAGCAGTAGGTAAATCAAGTTCCAGGACCTAAAAGTAATGGCAACTACATTTACATAAGTTTTAATGTATAGTTTTTTTCACTAATTCAGACTCGATTTCCCTCCTTTCAAAGGGAATTTTTTTCTTTGGTACAAATTAAGCACATAATTGTTCACAAGACATAAGAACACAGAAATGATTAGAAGGGGATGAGAGAAATCAGAGAAGCCTTTCTATAGAAAAAAGATCCTTTGAGTATGTCTGGAATAAAGAACTGGTTAGAGAAGCAGAGCAGAAGAGTGAGCATCCCAGGTTGACAGAATGGCCTGTGCAAAGCTATACTGCACTTGACCTGAGGGGCTATGCAGGGGCAAAGGTCGAACCTTAAGCATCTCGAAGCCTGACTGTAAGCACTTGCCCTCCACCTCAGCAGCCAAGTGGGCCAGGTCCCGGCGCTTGTCTCCAAGATGAGCAGCATTTTCTCGGAGGCGCTGTAGAATGTCTTGTTCCTCCTCCTCCAGTCGTGAAAGCAACATCTGCTGCTCTTCATCCAGCCGCCTATGAAGCTCTTCAAATTCCTTTAAGATCTGCTGCCGGCGACACTCCACTAGTCTCTGAGAAAAGAGGGAAGGTGTTATATTTAGCAGGGCCAGCGGGGCCTTTTCCTACCCACCATGTGTATGAATTAACACAGACTTCCAGTGTCAATGGAAATAGCTTAACAGGATACTCATGTTTCTCTCCATTGAAATTTCCTTCTGTAAGTAATGGCTCCTTCCCCAATGTCACCCTTACTGATTACTTGGGAATGAAGACCACTGGGGAATTTAAAAAAATCAGTGTTTAAAAAAATTTTAATTTTATTAACTTCTAAAAAAAAGCTGTACTTCTATGGTTTAGTGAAAAAAAAAACAAGATATAAGAACTCAATAATATAATGACATCTACTATTATGGATACAAGATATATCTGCTATTCCCAACTCTAAAGTTCTAGCTAATGCAATTTATCAAGAAAAGGAAAGAAATAAGTACTGGAAAATTAGAGATGAGATGGTGATCATTTGTATATTACCAGACATCTACCCTCTAAAAACCAGAGAACCAACTGGAAAACTATCAGAATCAGCAAGATTTTAGTAATGGGTTGTTACAAAATACATACAGTTGACTGTTGAACAATACAGGTTTGAACTGTGAGGGTCCATTTATACATGGATTTTTTTTTTTTCCTTAAATAGGGTATAGTACCATAAAGGTATTTTCTTTTCCTTATGCTTTTCTTAATAACATTTCCTTTTCTCCAGTTCACTTTATTGTGAGAATACAGTATATAATACAAATAACATATAAAATAGGTGTTAATCACTGTTTATGTCATCACTAATGCTTCTGGTCAACAGTAAGGTATTAAGAGTTAAGTTTTTCAACGACATAGATGGAACTAGAGGGTATTATGCTAAGTGAAATAAGTCAGTCAGAGAAAGACAAATATGAGATTTCATTCATATGTGAAATTTAAGAAACAAATCAGAGGAGCATAGGGGAAGGGAAGGAAAAATAAAATAAGACAAAATCAGAGAGGGAGACAAACCATAAGAGACTCTTAACATAGGAAACAAACTGAAGGTTGCTGGAGGGGAGGTGGGTGGGGGGGATGATGTAACTGCGTGATGGGCATTAAGGAGAGCATGTGATGTAATGAGTGTTGGGTGTTATATGCAACTGATGAATCACTAAACTCTACCTCTGAAACTAATAAAAAAAAGAGTTAAGTTTTTGGGGAGTTGAAAGTTATATGTAGATTTTCCATTGCACTGCTAACCTTGTTCAAGGGTCAACTGTATATAGATTTCAGGGAAGAACCTGTTAAATAGTTTCAAGTCACTTCAGAGAACTGACAGTTCCCATCCCAGGAATAGGTTCCAAAAGTTTGTGAATTAATTGTTGAAATTTGAAATATGTTTTCTCTCAGCTACCACACAGAATTAAACCTCTAACCTTCCTGAAATTTGATAATATAGTACTAAAACACCAGCCATAATACTTTCTGAAGGTTATCACCTAGCATTTCCTTCCTTTTGTACCTCCACTGCAACAAATGATCTGCCCAGATGGAGTCTCCCAAGTGTCACGTGACTGATGGGGAAAAGTAAACCCAAGAGGGAAGTAAAAGAGAAGCAGAGACAGGGAATCTGGAAGTAAAAAGTAGATAGGGACTGAAAGGCAGGGCTGAGGGTGAATAGAGAGGGGCTGCAAAGCCAGTGTGGGCCTTCGAAGCCTGGTGTTTCTGGATTTCAAGCTAGTTCTCAGCAGAGGCTGGCTAGCTCCAGTTCTGGAGCCGCTGCTGCTTCCCATTCCACTGCTGCCTTCTCAGGTGCACACTGGAACAAAATATATTCTTACAGCATTTACCCTGTGAAAATTATAAAAGGAAACCTCACTAAAATGGAGTCAGGACGCCAGCAGGGGGAGCACTCACACCCTACCGCTGGTCAATCGTAAACCCAATTGGAAGAGATGTACCTTGCAAGTCCATACTATCTTAACCACCCCAACGGGAGGAAGGAAGGTTTCCTTTTTGCAGGGCAACAAGCCCAGCCAGTGACAAACTGTCACAACCCAGCCAATGAAAAGTCACTGTACTCTGAACTCTCAGGTCACTTCAAGGACTTTTCATTTATAAGAGCCCCTCCCAAACCTCCTTTCCTCTTTAGAAGAGTGGTCCTCTCCTTTGTTCTCTACACTTGCCTATGGATTTGCCTTAGCTTGCTTGTCCTGAATTGCAATTCTCTGCTATTCCTGAATAAACTCATTTATGCTGGTAAACTAACTGAATTTTATTTAACCCCTAAGTAAAATACAACTTTTTTCCTTGTGTGTGTGCACACACACGTGTGTGTTGGTGTATGTCGAGAGGTGATATATGGGTAGAATTTAGGATTCATAACTGTGGTAAATAGGAAGCAAAAGGGCTGTCTTTTATATAATCCCATAATCCCTTCTCTTTTTTTTTTCACTCTATATATGTAGGGCAGTGGTTCTTAATGAGGTTCTTACTTCCCACTAGGGATATTTTGGAAACGAGGGGCATTTTTTTTGTTTGCCATAACTGGGGGTACTCTAGTAAGGCTGCTAGCACTCCAATATGTGAGATGACTCTGCAACATGCACTGTCCTGCACCATTTTCTATGTTCTGCTGTATATTTAAAAACATAGGCCTGGACTTGAATGTCATTTTATACATAGTAATTTAAACAGAGTTAATCCGTACCCAGTTTTAATATACCTGAATTTTTCAGAAATGGCTGAATAAAACTAAGATTTTTTTCCTTAGAACTTTACCAAAAGTTACTTATCATTTTGAAAATTTATGTCACCAAGAGCTAAGCTGCTTGTGGTGCTTGTCAACATTACTATGCAATTATTTCAGTCTGAATTTGTATTTGTTGCATTGTTGATGATGTCACATATAGGTACAAGGATAAAACTACATTGTGGTGTCTTTCAGGGTAGTTGTGCCCAAATATTTACATATCAGATTTTATATAAATCACTTTCCTTTATGTCGTGTGTGTGTGTGTGTGTGTATTTGGGCATAAGTCTCTTTTTAAAATTATGCAGAGAAGTTAGTTTATCTATAATTTTCCCTTCAGCATGGTTAATTACTAATTATGTTTAAAAGGGGCACTGGGTCTGATTTTGGAAGTAGGGATGAGGGAGAGGTAGGAAGGAGAATTTAAATGGTCACGAAAGGAATGTTGGTGGTAGTTTCAGAGACCACTGAATTTTTAAAAACACCACAGATCTGTTCAAGCATTTAGAAGGTTTTAAAAAATTTTTATTCCCCTCTTTATCCTTTACCTTTAAGAAGGTGATCAACAGGAACAGGAAAGTTAATGACTGGGAATAAGCTTCGTTTTCACATATTTTAAGTTTCTCAGGAGCCCTCCAAAAGAACAAAGAACTTTTTTTTAAAGTTCACCTTTGCAATCAAAATTAGTTATAATTTTAAAAAATTCAAATGCTTGCTTTATTCAAATATATAAAGGACTAAGGTAGTACTTAGTAATACTTAATAATACTTGCTTTCTATCAAAATGTTGTCATTGTTAAAAAATTAGTGTTTCTACTATTTTCAAACTTGTGTTTAATTTCTGGTGATCCCTAAATCTCAACTCCAAAAATTCATTATTTCTTCTGGAAGCTTTTAATGAGGTCAAATTTCTATGTTGTCTTCTTATGAATTTGCAACTGTGCTTTTTGTGCCAAGTCATTATCTATTTTCTCCACTTGACTGTAAGCTCAAGTAGGACAGGGACTGTGTTTTTGCTCATCACTGTTCCCCAGTGTCAGAATTTGGCCTATACTGGAAGTTTAATACATACTTATGGATTCATGCAGAGCTAGTATCCCTGATTTTGCTACATATTGGCTGTGTGATCTTGGACTAGATACTTATTCAAGTTTTGTTGCCTCCTTTGATAACTGAGGGTAATAATACCCACTTTACAAAGGTATCTAAGTTCATCTTTGCAAAAGATGACCTCCAGGACTCCCTTTCCTTTGTCTTATAGCTCCTCTAGGTCCCACATGTTCATTGGCCTGAACTCTTAGAACTCTAACCTGGGCAGAACCTTAAAACCTAATGCAACCCTGTAAGTTTGGAATGTCATGGCACCCAATGAATTCATACACGGGACTCAATAAATACTTAGTTATTATTGCCACTATTAAAAATTGTTCACTGTCCAATAAAATAAGACAGATACCAAAATATCATTCTACAAATATGGTAATGCTATGAAAGAGAAGCAAAATTATATGCAAATTAAGAAAGTTAATTTCTGAAGGGTCAAGGAAGGCTGCATAGGAAGTGGCTTTTATCCTGCATGAAGGATAGACAGGATCTTATAGATGTAGGATGGAGAGAGCAACAGTCTAGGAGAACCAACATCATCTAGCATACCTGAACTTACTTAAGAGAATGTGGTCCTAAAGTCACTGGGCAGTTCTGGGAGCTCTTTTGTTAGCTTCTTCCTTCTTTCTCCCCAGTGAACCTTCCAAATTCTTCTCTCCTCAATCTCTCTAAGAAACTCCTATTCCTGCTCTCTCCCTGCTTTACAAGAAAAAAGGAGACCAATGGGCATGAACTCCCTCAACTTGCCACACGTAAGATGCCCTGTCTGTCCTTCCTTCACTTCCTACATCCTTCTCTTCAAAACTTAAATCATGACAAATAATTTAAGTACAATGTATAATGATAAAGAAGCCTAATAAAATACCATTGTTTTTGAGAGAACAGCATTTTTCGAATGAATCAGAACTGGTGGATTAAAGAATGTGTGGTTAATGTGTGGTTAACTGCCTGCAGAGCAGCCCAAATGGAATCGTCTGCCTTTACCTTGAGCTCTCCAGGCTTCTTCTCCTCAGAGGACTTGCAGCGGGTGATCTCCTGCAGCTTCTGCTCCAGGGGCTCCAGGCACTTCTGCAATTTTTCCTGAGGGTGGGAAGTGGGAGAGGTGGCATTTGGGGTTGGCTGGTACATCCTACATTCAGAGGTTAACCCATTTACTTTAAACCATTTATTTGCTTCCTATCCATCTCATCACCTCTTGATCCCACTCCCTTCCTTGCGTGTCATTTGGGGTGTCAATTTCTGGTCCTTCCTCCTGCCGCCAGCCTGTCCCCATCATCTTCCTTGCTCTCCAAACTTTCCTCTCACTGAATCTCACAGTTGTCCAGCTGTCACCAACTCCGTGTCCTTCCCCAGTCCTATCATTTTCTTACTCAAGTGACTGCCTATTATGGTCAAAGTGACTTTCTGTACTCTGATATCCTTCTTTACACTTGTCCTCCCATCCAACTCAAACCACCTACAAATATAATAAAGTCTTTATTACTAATACTGTAAACAACTTTACATCTTGTGTCCAAGATTTTATTAACATAATTAAACAAAATACTTGATCAGTGCGAAGATATTAAAATCTTTAGTTCCTATTACTCGAACATTTACCCTGTGTCCCAACAGTAATTAAATCCGATGCCACATTATCTATTATCTAGGCAGATACAAATGGCAGACAAGTTCAGCTTAGTCTGCTGGGGATCAGTCTAAACTAATGTTATGTATTCCCAATACCAATGGGAAAATAAGGAACATTCTGAGCAGGGGCACAGAACGAAGAAATCAGACCACTTTTCAGTTCCTCCTAAGTTTGACCATCTCCAAGTGGTTTCATTCATTTATAAAAAATGATACATTATAAGACCACACAAACCAATATTCACCCATAAGACTCAAATGATGTTAGGAAAAGTCAGAAAGCAATTTTGAGGCACTCCTCAAAACTGCTCTTCTTCATGCTTGAGGATAACTGATCAGATGTACTGTGTGCCCTCCGTGTATATAGCTCTGAGGTGACTAGAGAGTAAGGACCAGATACAGTCTTGCCCTCAGCTTAGGATCCTCTACCCAGGGAGTCTCCCAACCTCTGTGCTCCTCTCTTTCCCCACCTTGGCATCATGTGTCTGGTTCCCCACCTTGTACTCCTGTGTGGCATCATCCAGTGGCACGACGGTGTGGGCCCGGTGGGTGTGGGAAATTGCACATATCAAACATACAGCCTCCTGGTCCTCATAGCAAAAGAGGCTGAGGGCCTCATGGTGCTGGGGACAGAGGCTTTCATCTCGGATCTTCCGCTTAACAGCCTGGAGCTGCTTGGCAATTTCCACCATACTGCCTAGTTGTCGATTAGGTCGGAGACTGCGGTAGCGGGATGTTTTTCGACAGACAGGACAAGGGAAGTCCCTCTCTAGGTCCTCCCACCAACGGGTGATGCAAGCTTTGCAGAAGTTGTGTCCACACTCAATGATGACAGGCTCCTTCAGATACTCCAGGCACACAGAGCAACTCGCCTCCACCTGTAAGTTCTCCAGCGCTGCAGCTGTGGAGGCTGCAGAGGCCCCAGCATCTAACAGACTTGTCTCTGCCATTATTTAACTTAGGGATGGAAAGGGAGCAGAGAGAGAAAAATATTAGTTGGAGGTTTAATTTTTTTGTACCCCTGGCCTGACATTTACTCCCATGATAAGTCCTAACTCCAGTTAGCCCTATTTTGGTATTTTACATCTTCTCTTCCACTAGATTCAACTTTTTTTTTTTTTTTAAAGTAGGCTCCATGCCCAGTGTGGAGCCCAAAACAGGGCCTGAACTCAGGACCTTGAGATTGAGACCTGAACCAAGGTCAAGAGTTGGACGCCTAACCCACTGAGCCATCCAGGTCCCCCTCAACCTCTTTTATGTTTCTGTTTCCAAAACCTGTGACTCCCAGCCATCAATCTATTTTTTTTTTTTCCTCCTCAGCACACTGACACCCAACCACCAATCTTTGTCTTTACCTCTGCTTTCTCGTTAAAGGCTTCCTTCAATGCTAGTCCAGCATACTTCTCCTAATCCAGACTTACACCATATGTATCTTAAAAACAGACCAATGTATCCCTAGTTTGACATATCTTTCTAATAGATAAGAAAGGAGCTTGGTGAACTGAAAAGTGCCATAAAAGTCAAAATATTAATTAAGATTTCTTAAGTATATTTTAAAGTTTAATATTACAGAAAAATTTTTATTACAATAGCTCTTTGAAGCATAAGCTTCTCTGCCACTGTTCTGTCGCTCTTTCAAAGGGTAAGAAAAGGAGTAATTTAGGCAAGAGTAAACAAGCTCTTCTTTTCAGGAAAATTTGAAATTATTTTTTCTTTTATCAGACTAGTCTAGAGGAAGTGTGCCTTCTTGGAATGAAATGACTCACACAACATCCCATTTCTTTGTGTGCATTTGGACATTTGGAACTGCTGAAAAGTGATAAATATTTGACAACTACACTAAAGTTTATTAGTATATACTTCTCGAAAAATATACGCTTTTTGAAAAGAGGGCTGACAAGTCTTTTCTAAATATTCAGCAGTGACTGGAGTCTTTTGAAATAGCTACTGAAAACTAATTCCTTGGAGGTACTGTGCCTCCAATTAATAGGTGCTGGAGTGGTTGGGAATTAGCGAAGAAAAAGTAAAGAGTCAATCAAAGTCTCTCTCAAGTGAAGGCTCAAAATACTGGAAATGCGTCAAAGGGATTTATAAAGCAGAAGGCTGGTCCCCCACTCCTTCCTTAAAAATCACTTTTATCCATGAAATAGTTGATTTCTCTATCCACCCCCCTTCCCCTCCACACCAAGGGACCCAACAGAAGAAAGGAAATTTAGTAGGTCTAAGTGCTAAGAGAGAAGTGGCCATGTAATGAGTTGGGTTAACAATGATTATTGTATATACTGATGGCACACATGAAAAGTGTTTTAATTTGGAGTAGGAGCTGATAATTTATTTGGCCCTGAATTCTTCCCTCAACCAGGAGAGAAGTTCAGTCAGATGATTCTTCTTCACCGAAGGGAAACCAACTTTGACTAGGGAACCTGCCCCTTTCTTCTAGAAATAAGGTGGCCTTCTCACCTGGGGTGAGTTGAACTGTACGCAGATTTAGGGACCAGGATGGATCTAGACTGGCAAAGAAGTGGTGTGAAAGAGAAATGGGGAAAAGGTTAGGAAAGCAGAGAGAGGACTTTACAGCCATAGTGAGGCCTCTGGGTTGGTCATTTCTTTCCCTCTATTCCTCGTGTCTCAGTAGAAGGGCAAACTTCAGGGACGTCCTCATTTTGTTTCTACCACTGTCCGGGGTCCCACCTTGCGACCCTCTCCTGAGCGTCGTCCACAACTCAGTCCCACCCTCGTCTCCATCTTCTCTCGCCAGATCTGGCGTAAGGGGATTGGAGACGGGGAGAGGAAACGTCGTGGTTGACAGGGAGGGAGGAATGCGTGTCCAGGTGAGGAGAAGGTGTGACGTGAAGGTGGGATGCCCGCCGCTATGACGCAGCCGAGGCCCGCGGTGACGGCGTCAGAGTTTCACCCGGGGAGGCGAGCGGCAGCGGGACGGGGGAACGGCGGGGTAGCCAAGCAACGCCGGACGCGCTGACGTCGCCGGGGCGGCAAAACGTCCGCCCGGGCCTGAGGCGGGCGGAGGCAGCTGTGGTTACGTGCGGGGGGCCGGTGACGCAGTCGCGGGGCGCTGGGACGCGGCGTGCGGAGCCGGCCGGCAGGGGCAGGCCCCAGGGCCCGGGCGCGGCGGCGGGACAGCACCTACCTTCCCGGCTTCAGGTCCGGGAGTGCGGGGCGCGGAGCCGCCGGAGCGCTGCCTCCCTCCTTCCTCCTCCCCCCGCCCCCGCCCCGCAGCGCGACACACAATACTCGCCGGAAGCGGAAGCCGCGCCGAGAAGCTCGTGTCAGTGGAAACCCGGGTGTCGGCTCGCTGCCGCGGGAAGGCCTAGCGGTGCTTGCGGGAGGAGAAGGAGGGGGGCCAGAGGTGAGAACCAGCTGGAGGAGTCAAGAGCGAGAAGGGACCGGGAGGGGCAGGTGTCTGAAATGTGGTTGTCCAGGTGACCGGAGGAATCCTCTGGAGAAAGAGGGCCGCGCATGCGCCTGGTTGAGCGCTGAAGCCCCATTGCCCGCAGGGCGTCGATGGGCGCCAGGGACGGTGGCTGCTCCGCCAGGCTCCGGGGCCCGGCTGTGGCCACGCTCGCTGGTCCCGGGTGGGGCCGGGAGCCGCTGGGGGCAGGGCAAGGGCGGTTGTGGACTTTGAGCTACACTTATCCTCTCTTCAGGCCAGTCCAGAGAGAAGGTGGCGAGCTGAGGCGGCCAGTTACGTGGCGGACCTGCGGGTCTCAGCTGGCACGTCACTTCCGACTGGTTGAGTTTTAGCCTTTTAACATTCCAGGATTAGGTAAGTTCTCCCTGCCGTGGGCTTCAGATGCTCCTCGTCCTACCCTCGCCAAGCGGGCTTAGACATTGTTTATCTTCCCCGGTGGAGTGGAAGTCCTGCCATTCTGTTGCGCACCTTTTTATCCTCAACTCCTCACTCGGCCCCCACCGCAGGCAAGCTGTTAAAGTGGGTGCTAGCTAACGCCCATTCTTCCCACTTTGGGGGCTGTGACTTGAGATTGTCCCAAAGAGCAGATGATGCTTGTGTGGGGACTCAGACTTTTGCCTGCTTTCCTCTTCTGCTACTGGAAGTTTTGCAGGTCTGTGACTTTGGAGGAAGAGCCTGCTGAAAGAAGTGTGTTGAAATAGGGAGGTGGTGCTGAATAGAGGTGATGGAGCTGGGGAGGACCTAGTGCAGGGTAGAGGTGTGATGAGACTGGGGAGGAGTTAGTGCTAGGAGTGTCTGATATTGTTCATGGAAAAGGCAGCTTGTCCCACACCTTCTCTCCCCCAACACTTGGCTTGCGGAATGAAAGACATGGGCAAATTTTGGTGTACCCATTTCCAGGAGGAAATGGCCTAATGGCCCATCTTGTTCCTGTGTAAGTTGTGATGTTGTTTATAAACACAGTGCAGTATTTAACCTTTCATCCTGGGAACCAGAAACTGTTTACTTGCAGAAAATACCAAATGTGTGAGGTACAGGGATTTAGGATCAGGCATACTGATATAATTGGTCTCCTTGCCCTTTTTTTTTTTCCTGGTGGCCAATGATTTGAAGAGGATTAAACTTGGGAAAATTACGTTGTTTTTTTTTTTTCCTCATTGTTCTTTGTTAGGAATTTTAGCAGTGGTAAAATTTAGTTTACAAAACGCCTCAATTTTTTTTTTTTAAAGATTTTATATATTTATTTGAGAGAGTACGTGTGAGAGAGGGAGAGATCGGGAGCAGGGCAGAGTGAGAGGGAGAAGCAGACTCCCAGCTGAGCAGGGAGCCCGATGAGGGACTCGATCCCAGGACCCCAGGATCATGACCCCAGCGGAAGGCAGAAGTCTAACCAACTGAGCCACCCAGGTGCCCAAAACGCCTCAGTTCTAAGATAGGGTAGTTTGAAAGCCACTAACTGGGGGGGTCAACCACTTTAGCTTTGCTTTGGAGGGAGGGTGGTGATGGTGAGGTTTGGTTCTGGATTTGATTTGTTCATTTGTAACTTTTAAGGTGTTGCTAGCATTCCATTCTGGCTTTCTGTTTGTAGGTGACCATTCTGAGGAGGAAGTGTGTTTCAAAGGTCTGTTAAGAATGTTTTTTTGCTTGGAGACTGATTATTAACAAGATTTTATGCTGCATATGGAAGGAAAGGCGAGAGAATGTTTAGATAAAAATATAAAATTATGTAGGTCATGTACTATGATACAGAACAGGGGTTGGCAAACCTTTCCTGTAAAGAACCAGGTAAGCTGTATTTTCTGCTTTGAGGCTCATACTCTTCCTCTGTATTTGTATTGTGAAAACAGTGTTAGACAATACATAAATGAGATTTTTGTTCCAATAAAATTTTTTGTATGGACACTGAAGTTTGAATTTTATATGTCATAAAATATTTATTTTTCTTTTGATTTAACCCCCAATCATTTAAAAATGTAAAAACCATTCGTAGACCGACCCCCGACATAGAACAATAGTGAAGTACCCAGGATGTTTCAAGAGAGAGTAATTGGGAACAAGGGTGAACCAAATGCTGTGATATCTTATTTCCATCTGTCTATATAATAATACACAAAATAATAAAGGAAATCTTAAATCTTAACCCACATTTGTTATTACGAGTTGTGAAACTTGGTAAGCTGAGATTTATGAATGTAGTAGGATACAAGTACATTCTCTAAACAAAGTGTATTCCTTGTTCAGAATTGAAAGGGATTGTAGTTCAGGAGATGTTGGATAATGCTGAGTTATAATGTTGATTTATTTATATATAAGGGATTTCCACCACGGGAGTATGCAAAAATGCATTATAGTAATGAGATGAAGGAGAATTAAAATAAAAAACATATATACATTGTAATATATTTTTTAAAATTTATACTTAAATTCAACTTAGTTAACATACAGTGTATTATTAGTTTCAGGGGTAGAATTTAGTGATTTATCAGTTGCATGTAAGACCCAGTGCTCATTACATCAAGTGTCCTCCTTAATGCCCACCACCCAGTTACCCTATTCCCTGCTTAGGTCCCCTCCAGCAACCCTCAGTTTGTTCCCTGTAGTTAAGAGTCTCTTATGGTTTGCCTTCCTCTGTATCTTATTTTTTCTTCCCTTCCCCTGTGTTCATCTGTTTGTTTAGAAAATTCCACATAGGAATGAAATCATATCGTATTTGTCTTTCTCTGATTGACTTGTTTGGCATAGCATAATACCATCTAGTTCACTTTGTTGCAAATGGCAAGATTTCATTCTTTCTGATGGCAGAGTAATATTCATTCTGTATATATACCACATCTTTTTTTTCCCCTCTATAAGTGGAAAGCCAAATTGGGCTTTTTTTTTTTTAAAGACTTTTATTTTTGTGAGAAAGAGTGAGCATGCCAGTGCGTGCATGGAGGGGGAGGGGCAGAGGGAGAAGCAGATTCCTGCAGAGTGGGAGCCTGATTCAGAGAGAGCATGAGCAGGGGGAGCAGCAGAGGAAGAGGGAGAAGCAGACTTCCCACCGAGCAGGGAGTCTGATGCAGGACTTGATCCCAGGACCCTGGAATCATGACCTGAGCTGAAGGCAGATGCTTAACCAACTGAGCTACCTAGGCACCCTGGGTTTTTTTTTTTTAATTTAAAATCAATTTAATTAACATAGGGTGTGTTACTAGTTTCAGAGGTAGAATTTAGTGATTCATCAGTTGCATATAACACATACAACACCCAGTGCTCATTATATCAAGAGCCCTCCCTGATGCCCATTACCCAGTTACCCCATGCCCCAACCCACCTCCCCTCCAGCAACCCTCAGTTTGTGTCCTATGATTAAGAGTCTCTTATGGTTTGTCTCCCTCTCTGATTTTGTGAAATCATATGATATTTGTCTTTCACTGACTTATTTTGCTTAGAATACCCTCTAGTTCTCGGGCGCCTGGGTGGCTCAGTCAGTTAAGCAGATGCCTTTGGCTTGGGTCATGATCCCAGGGTGTTGGGATCGACCCCGCATTAGACTCCCTGCTTGGTGGGAAGTCTGCTTCTCCCTCTCCCCCTGCTGCTCCCCCTGCTTGTACTCTCGCTCGCACTGTCTCTCAAATGATTCCAAAAGAAGAAAGAAAGAAAAACTTATATATATACACTAAAAATAAAATGAAAGGAAACCAAAAATAAGAAACATATGTAACATATATATGTAAGTAAAAATTTTAAAAAAATTAAAAAGAATTGACAAGTTAAGAAAATAGCTGGAAAAAAAAAACAGACTACAGAGTAATAAAAAAACCCACAAATGCTATATACTGTTTTTCCCAAGAGCTGAAGTTTTGCTGTTCTCTATGATCTATAAATTTGGTGTTAGCTGGTTGTTCCTGCTGGTCTTCTAGGGGAGGGGCCTGTGTCCTTGCCCTGGTGAAATTTTGCCCCCCTTGCCAGGGGCCCCGGGCTCAGTGTAAACAGCTCTGGATTGCACTATATGGCACTGTTTTGCTCCCCGAAGGCTTTCAGCACCACTTGGGGGGATGAAAAATGGCAGTGCCCCGATCTCTAGCCCCAGAGCTGAAAGTTTGCACCCCCACTCTTCAGTGAGCCTTCACAGAAAAGCAGTCAATCACTCTGGTCTCCCTGATTTCTGTCCTGTGTTCACACAGCCTGTGACTGAGCGTTTTTATCTCAGGCACACGACTGAGTTTCCAGTCTCCTAACTTTATGGACTCCTGTGGTGTGGACTCATGCCGTTCCTCCTGGGTGAGGGAGGGGGATCTTGCCAGACTACTGCCTTTTGCAAAGCCCCTGTTTGGAGAGTGGTTGCATAATCGTGCAGCAGTTCACAGTTTATGGCCTCATGGAGCAGGAAGCTGGCATATAGACTCACTGTTTTAGCCAGCTTCCCTGCTCCGATGCTTGGAAACTGTGCTGCACTTAGGCACCCCTGTCTTTTTCTGACACCTGGTATCCTGCCACGACGTTGTCCCACTTGGAATCCACCCCGCTTCGCCACCTGAACAACTTTAAGCCAGGATCGCCTCCAAGTGTAGCAGACTTCTAAAACTTACGATTTTGCACTCCGCTGCTTATACTTTCTGGTAGACACCTTAAACTCCCTCCTCTTCCTGGTTTATCTCCCACTATATCACCCTGATTCACTTCTTTGCACTTCCTACCTTGCAAAAAGTGGTTTCTTTTTCTGTTTGTAGATTACAGTAATTCTTTTCTCAGATCTCCAATTGATTTCATAGGTGTTCAGAATGATATGATAACTATATAGCTGAA